AATATGATAAGTTTTGAAAGCATACACTCATGAAACCATTACTGCAATCTAGATGGTGAACATATCCATCACTCCCCAATGTCCTAGTGTTCCTTTGCAGCCATCCATCCCTCCCATCTCTCCCGCTACCCCCACTACTGTCACTATAGATTAGTTTGCATTTTCTAGAATTTTATATAAATAGAATCATACGATACGTGATTTTTTTAGATTGATTTTTTTTTATCAAAAAATATATCCTTGAGGTCCATCCAGGTTGTTGCCTGTATCAATAGCTCATTCTTTTTCCTTGCTGAGTGGTATCCCATTATATGGAAGTACCAGGGTTTGTTCAACCATTCACCCATTGAAGGACATTTGGGTAATTCCCAGTATTTTGCTATCACAAATAAAGCTGCTAGGAACATTCCTGTACAAGTTTTTGTGTGAGCACAAGTTTTTAATTCTTTGGACTCTATAGTTAAGTTGCCTGTTAAGTTTTATAAGAAGCTGCCAAATTATCTTCCACAGTGGCTGTACCATTTTACTTTCCATCTATTTTTTAAAATTTAGGCAAGTTCCTCTGCCTGTTTTCTTTCCTTCCTGACATTAATTTTTTGAGGAGTCCCAGACAGGTATCTTGTAGAAATCTCCCGTTCTGACTTCACTGGCTGTGTTCCCCAGGTGTTGGTTAACATGTTCTTCTGTCCCCTTTATCTCCTGTAACCAAGACTGTGGCTTCCTTGGAGTCAAGAGAACTTCAGAGATGTCATTGTGAACTTTGTACTGCATCTGCCACTGTAATCCATGCCGAATTAAAGCAGTAACTGCTCTATATCTCTACCGTGAAAGTGCATTTCCCCTTACGTAATCAGTTATCTGTGGAATGAACAGTCCTTGACAAAGGATTTGGTAGTAAAAGCCATTTGTTTCCCACAACCACTCCCTTAAACCACTTCCAGATCAGTCATATGGCTAATTAAGATAAATTAATGTCACTTCTCTGGAACCCAGGGTAGGTTTGCTAGGTCCAGGGAATACCTTTTGTTCAAGACTTGTGGTCCCAGGAAAGGGATAAAGAGTTCCCTGACAAGCCAATGTATCAGATTTGAGTAAATGTGATCGAAAGAGGGGGTCAGTGGTAACTGCCCAAAGGGACATCCTGAGGATCCCACAATGATTATAGGAACTACAAGAGGAGCTAATGTGTGTCACCCAGAGGCTGAAATTTCAAGGAGCTAAAAATATCCTTGACAGTGTAGTCTGAAAATGCACCCCAACCATTTCTTTTCGCCTTAGCCACTTGCCAAGATGGCTAATAGGGATGTCAAAACAGTCCTGGAGGAAATAGAAAATGAATGCTCCCTTCCATGGCAAATTTCATATTGATCAGAAAGTCAAGTGATGCTCTGGCAAACACCCATGTGATTGTGTGTGTGTGGGTGTGATTTACTTAGAAATTCTAAAATCAGGTAAGTAAAAATAATGACTCATTTGTAAGCAAATACAAGAAAGAAAAACATGGGGAAACCACCAAAAATTGAACAAAAAGCTTAAGGAAAGCAAAACAATGCTTTAAAATAAAAAAGGAAATTTATAGAACATACATGTGGTATTTCACTCTCAGCTATCCTGAACACTTTGTCTGGGAACTTTGAGTTACAGTGACTTTTCTTTTTTTTAAGTGAAGTAAAATCACATAACGTAAAATTAACCATCTTCAAGTGGATCCATGTGATTTTTACCTATTATTCTTTTCTGTTCCACAGCCTAATTGTTTTCCAGTTCTAAAATTACTGCGTGTTTGTATATAAAATCTATAATTTTATATATATGCAGCAGTGACAGTCAAAGATCCCAACCATAACCCTACCTCCACAGCTAGAAGAGATGGCCACAGGGAGGTGAGATTCTGCCTCCAGATTATTCTATTTATATGTCAATACAGTTATGAACAAACATTGGATTATACTCTACAGAGTTCTACTATTTCCTTTTTCTTTCTGCTAAACTAATACATGACGTCAGCGCATATCTCCCCTCTTCCCATATGGGTACATCCCACTTCAGCTAACCAGTCCCCTGTGGGAGATGCCTATAGGTGAGGTGGCTTGCACAAAAGCCATTCATATTTTCTATTGTAAGAGGTGCCCACAAACAACAAGATCTTACTGTATAGCACAGGGAACTATATTCGATAGCTTGTAATAGCCTATAATGAAAAAGAATATGAAAAGGAATATATACATATATATCACTCTGCTGTACACCAGAAATTAACATAGCACGGTAAATCTACTTCAACTGAAAACAGAGATGCCTCCCAGTTGGGTCCCCCAAGAGTGTACCAGTATTTTCTCCCCCAAAGCCACACAAGAGAGCATCTGGAGAGTGTTTGATATTTATGTTTGGACTTGCTCTATAACTTTCACAGCACTGTCTGGGGCAGGGAGGGGAAGAAGGTGAATTCATCCCCAGTTCCAACACTTGTTTGTTCTCTAGCTCCTTTCCAGGCAGAGAGCAGGGAGCAGGGACTGGGTTGGGTGAGGTAATCCTGACCCTCTCCCCTTCCACCATGTAAGGAAATATCCTTGGAAATATCAGTTCCTGATGGAGCCAACCACCACCCGTTCCCCTCCCACCCTGTCGCCTGAGCCAGCCTGGACCTGCTGGCTATGGGGGACGGGAAAGCTGGACTCCGAGGACTAACTCAGCAAGGAAAGGATTCACCAGCCTCCAAACAATCTCCCCAGTGTTCAAGTTACTGCAGGCTGTCTGCAAGAATCACTGGCTTCTCTAGGTTAAAAATATTCCATGCCTGAGGGGTCCTAGTGTCTGTCTCAGAAGAGAGCTGGCTCACAGCTCCATATCTCTGGGGAAATTAACTGAGACCAATTGATTTTTCTTCCATGAAGCTTTGAAGCCAGACTTTCTGGATTCACATCCTCGATCCACAGTTCACTAGCTGTGTGAGCCTAGGCCACTTACTTAACTTCTCTGTGCCTCAGTGTCTCTGGCTGTTAAAGGAGTATCAGGGTCACATCTATCTCCGAGATCAGTGAGTCTCTACCCTGGCTGTGTACTGCAATCATCTGGGAAGCTTTTTAAAAACCCTGATGCCCAGGCTGCATTCCGGGCCAATTAAATCTGAATTTCTGAGCGTTAGTTCTGGGCAAAAAAATATATTTTAAAGCTTTCCATGTTATTCCGATGTGCCACTGCTGTAGAGATTTTGTGGTATTAAATGAGCTACTATAGGAAAAGTGCTCCCTATGATGCCTGACACAGAGTTATATGCTTTGGTGGGGGTCAGGGAAGGCTTCCTGGAGGAGAGGGTAGTTGAGCTGTCAACTGAAGGAGGAGAGAAGTTAATCAGGAGGAAGAGGACAGGATGCATTGCAGTTGGGGTACCAGTACCCACAACGGTCTGGAGCCAGGAGGATGTGGCCTCTTGGAAAATCATTGGGCTTTATTCTGATATCAGGAGGGTTTTAAGCAGGACATTAACTGACCCAGATGGTGGCCTCCCCCCAAATTCAGAAACAGCAGGACCTCCTCAAGGCACTTTTGTCCAAGCTAGCTTGAGAGCTTGAACTTGCCAAGGGATGTGACCCAATCCCCAAGCTCTCCTTCAGGAACCATACCCTAGATGCTAAAATCAGACAGTCCTAGGTTTGAATCCCGACTTGGCCACTTTGTACCTGCGTGGCCTTGGGCAGGTGTCTTCACTTATGGGCCTCAGTTTCCTGGCTTGGAAAATAGGCATAAAACCCCCACTGGATCTTTGTAAAGATTAAATGCGATAATAATGTAAAAGATACAGGGCCTTCAGAGCAAGGCCACATGCTCTCTGGGCATTACCAGCTGACAGCTGAATACGTTGGGGAAATTGGGGCCCGGACATTTCTGCCCACTAACGAATTTTTGTTCGGGACTCCCAGTTGCGATGGCTTATCTATGTCAGATTTGAGTCTTTCCTTGCCGGTTCTGCTTCTTCCTCTTTCACAGATGTTCCTCTAAATCAATTTCAACATCTGCTTCCTGGAAGACCTGACCTGACACAGAGGGTCTTGGGGGCTGGATTCTTGTGGGAAGGGGAGCTTGAAACTGTGCATACAGAGCATTTTCATGTAAAATCAACAAACTACTATTGCACATTCCAAAGTGTGCAGAAGTGTGGATAGTAATGATCACCTCTATGAGAATTAATTTAAACAATAGCTATATAGTATCAGGCACTCGATAAATGGCAGTTGTTGTTATTACCTAATTTCTGTCTGTCCGAGCAGAGCCCCTCTGGGGTCTGGATTGGCAGTGGGTTGTTTCAGGAAATTGTGCCCAGTACTGGGTGTAACCTCCCTGTAGTTTTTCCTTTAATGTCTAGGTGGGATCTCTTCTGCTTCTTGCAGTTTTGGAAAAGTCTTCCTCTAGGGAGGGTGCACATGTGGAAGATTAAGGGATATATCACCTAGAAAGTATTGAATCTGGTCCCAAAGGCTGGGCTGCGAGCTCCACTGGCGGCCCCAGAAAAGCTATTCTAAATGGTTCCCAGCCTCGCCTGGTACTGATTGAGGATCCTCTTGGGAAGTGACTTACTGGGAGATACAAAGGTGGAGAAATCTGACTCTCCAGTGGACAGACATGTGGTGAGCGAGTGACTGATGGATGGACAGACACAGGTCAGACTGTGAGATGTCAAGACAGGAGGATGGGTCCGAAGGCCAGACAGTCAGGCATGTAACTCTGAGACAGACTGAATGAGGGCTTGCAGGCCTGGGAGCCTCCCACCTGCCGGCTCGGCCGCGAGGGGGCGCCGCCGCCCCGCCCAGAGGTGCCCACCGTCCGCGCTGGGCGCGCGCTCGCGGGCTGGCGGCGGGGGCGGGGCTAGCGTGCGCATGGGGCGGGGCCAGCTTGCTGGCGGG